AGGGCTGGCAGCTGCCTAAGGGCTAACAATAGCTTGGGCTGCCTGCCGGGTTCACTTTTCACTGACGGGGCTGCGGTTGAAACTAGTCAGGATGGAAAACTCAGGCCCTCGGCAAGAAGTAACGAAACTCAGGAGCAGAGGCACCTGGGAGACTCCAGTGACTGTCGCTTTGTTCACTGCGTGGCCCAAATGATCACTGAAAGCACTGCAACAAACAGGCTGCCTGACAGCGCCCGGCTAACCCCTTAGTTGTTCTCCAGAGGACAGTATTGTAAAGCAGTGGAGACTGGGCCACTAGCAGCAACCCTGCCTTGGCCCCAGCACCCCGGCCGGGCAGCGTGCTCCTTTTCTGTCATTGCTCTCGCATCTGCCACCTTAGGCTCGACAGGTGCTTTGCAAAGGCAAGTGAGTCCTCCCTTAAAAGTTGCTGCAGTTGCGGAAGCTGAGGCACAGGGCATTTAATTGACTTGCCAGTGTTTTACACCATGGGTGTGCTACAGCAGGGGAAGGACCCCAGGGTGGGGCTGGCTCCCAGCCGCCTTCTCTGAGCACTAGCCCCTGTCACCAGTGTAGAGGGTTCACCAGCAGGCTGACCGTTTCCTCTCCGTTCCCTGCCAATTGTGCCCTGCCACTAAGGCCTCATTATTATGATGTATATTGTGTAGTACCTACCATCCCCCAGGCAGGCTGGGGCCCCATCGTGCTTGGCATCATACAGCCAGTCGCTCTTCAGGGCAAGGCCCGTCTGGGCCTAAGAACAGGCCCAGGGCTGTGATTTGGGCAAGGGCAGCGCATTGTTACAGTCTGGGATGCTGCCAGTGGGGTAGAAGACCCTGCTTGGGGTTGGCTGTGACCCAAGCAGTTGTGGGCCCCCCCCCCCCCACACTTTTGGCTCTGTGAGGCCTAGTGGTCGGCTACAAAGGCTGGGTCAGCCCCTCCGTGGCTGGCAGCCCAATCCGGCAGCTGGCTCTGCCTGTGACTGGCACGGCATCCTGGCCAGTGCCAGGGATGCAGCCTTCAGTCTCCTCCCTTCCAGCCCGCTGAGCTAAATCTAGCCCAAAGGCGCTGGGAGGTGCGTGGCTCCACCTGCCTGTTTGGCGAGGGCAGCTGAGAGGCGCTAAGCAGCTGCACCCAGGCTATGCTGTTAGGAACATGCCTGCGAAGCGCTGTAAGGTGGGAGCTTGCCCTCGGGTGGAAGGGGGGATAATGCCGTTCTAGCACGACGCAGTGAAACAACCCCCCCCCCCCCCCAACCCCCCAAAAAAAACCACGCCTGCTGAGCGCCCCAGCCCCCCCCCCCAGGGATGGCAGAAATGAAGGGCTGCACAGCGTGCCTTTTCGCTGACAGCCGCTGGGATGGGGTAGGGGGTGTTACTCAGTCACCGTCCGCTGGCTTACAAAATAACGCTTGCTGGTGTCGCTTTGGTGGTTGGTTCGTGAGCGTCCATCACTGGGCCATTTTACCTGGCACCGCAGTCACTCACCCTAGACCCCAGCAAGGTGGGAGGCTGAAGGGTCATAAGCACAGCAATGGGGTGGGGGAAACGAGTGGGGATCTGTTGATTAGAACAAGGTATTGGGCATCAGGCCTCCTAGTGCCTATTCCCAGCTCCACACCTGATGCACGATTTAATTGTGCGCTAGTCACTTAACGGCCTTGTGCCTCGGTTTCCCCATCATAAAAGAGAGCTAAAAACCCCTACCGTACTCCCAGGGCCTTTGGGAGGCTTTGCTAATGAAGATCTTGTAAAGAGCTTTGCGCTCCTCAGATGAAAGCCAGCTCTGAAACTGCTACGCGCAGGAAAAATACAGAGCCGGACAGCGTGAGGCTGGGGGTTTTTTGCTGGAGAGCGGTTTGTAATTCGAGAGGGGTTAGGCTGTTTACTGTCAAATGAAAGAGGCTTGTCTCATCTCCTTCCCCTTCCCCCAGGAAACAAGTTATCTGTTTTTTTCTTTTAAAGTCTATTTCAAGCATAGTTGAAACTATACCTCACAGGGACTCCTGCACCAGCTCTCACTGGCTGATGGACTGTTCTTCCTAAACAGAAATGAAGAGTAAAATTCATCCCTGTGCAGAGGGGCTGCATGAGGCCCTGAATCTCCCTGACACCTTTGCACTGGGGTGAACTTTCCCCTTGGGGCACATGAGCTTGGAGGGTACTTTGTTTGGCCTATGAACGCCTATGGGGCAGGTAGGCAGCGTAGCTACTCACTGCTTAAGGCTGTCACCAGAGTGAGGGGACAGCAAATCCGTGGGACAATTGCAGCTCAGAGTGTTAGGATCATAGAATGCTTTCAATGGGTGCGCAGGGCGTGGATCAAGTGCCTGAATTAGTGATTAGAACAGGTGACTCAGCCTTGGGATTCCCACTTTCTCTCTCTTGCTCTTCCACTGACCCACATCAGCAAACCACTACCTTCCCCCCGTGACTCAGTTCCCCCAATCTGTAAAGTGGGGGATAACTGACCCTTTCCCACAGCCTGGGGGATGTTGTGAAGTTTAATCTTTGTAACAGAAAGTGGTCTCCTTAGCTCGGCAGCTCTTAGCTGCGTTCACACTGGAAGCTCCTTGGGAAGAGAACATGTCATCTTCAGCCTTATGCAGCCCTGAGCGTAGTGTGGGCACTTGAACGAACATAGCAGTGTGAAGTTTTATTACCTGATTCTTTGTTATAGCTCAGCACCCCAGGCAACAAGCCTGTTTGGCAGCCTCCTCGTCTCATCCCTGCTAGGGTTTAAAAAGGACAAAGCATCCCAGGCACTGAAACCCATTAGCCCTCATTGGAAGCAAAGGCCGCTAATGTAATCACCATGGTAATGCACTGAAGTACTGCTCTAATGTGCATGTTAGCAGCAAAGGTTTCTCTCTGCTGGGATAGCTCCGAGTAAGTCCCCTTCTCAGTGGGGCCGGCTACTTGCCTTCCACTGCTGTGGGGAATTCTCTCTCTCTCTTCCAGAGCATTGAGCTGTATTTTTTTTTTATCTCACATACAGCTGCTCCAAAGAGCAAACCAGGACACACAGCACACTCTGCTGGCAAGAAGCATGCAAAGAAGCCAGGTACTGCCCGCTGTAGCGTGTTAGCTGGCTGGTGTGGTAGCTTGTGTAGTGTTAGAGTAGTGGCACTTTCAGCTGTAATTGGGCTAGATAATATGGTCTAGATAGTACTTAGTCCTGGCTTGAGTGCAGGGGACTGGACTAGAAGTCCTCTCACAGTCCCTTCCAGTCCTACACGTCTCTGATTCCATGAATGGAAGCCCCTTTTTGTATGCTATTTGGTGTGACCTACATTAAATGGAGTCCACGGGAAACCGATATTTTAAATGGTTAGACTTGTATAGCTTTAGCCTGACTGTCTAACCGGATTCATTCCTCTACACCCATGTAAAGCGGTGGGCAGGATCCAGGAACAATAACTCTGCTTTTCACTGAGCTCTCTGTGCAATAGAGCACTTTTATGGGTGGAATTTCTTATACACCAAAGTTTAGGGGGGGGAGGGGGGAAACCATGAGAAATGTAGAAAGGCACCAGCTGTCTTGAGCAGAAATAGATTTCAGCGATGCCAACGTGATGTTCTTGGCTTACTCCATTATTGTTCTAGCACCAGAGCTGCTCTCCGGCAGGGTAGGAAGTGAATGTGTGTTAAGGGATGAGAAAAAGCATGTTTTTAATTTTTCCAAGCGGCTTCCAAGATCTCCAAACTCATCAGGCTCAAATCTGGCTCTGGCCCAGTGGCACCTGTTGAAACATTTAGAGGTAAGAGGGAGAAACGATGGTTGGTGGGAAAACAGAAAACTGAAACTAAGATGCTGCAAGCCTTGGAGGGATCTTTCTAACCCTGTGATCAAGATTTTCCTCGCCTTTAAAAAAAAAAAACACCCAAAAACACCACCTACCTGGGTCAGGGAGGTGTCAGACACTTAGAAGACTAGCAGTTACACTTGTCTCTGAATACATCTGTTATTTATCATTATAAGAAAGAATCCTTATGATAAAATAACCTTCACACACCTACAACAGCCAGCAATACCCAATTAGAAGATTCCTTGAACATTAACTGAGCAGGCAAAATTTATTTAATTGAAATTCAGTGTTTACAATTCAGTCACAATTCATCTCAAAGGCACTGTGAACTGTGGGGGAAAACCCTGCCTGGCTCTTTCATAGAAGCAGATCTCACTCCCCTTCCCCCTAAACCTCCCCTCCCATCCATGTGCATGTCAGCTTGTGTCACTTGCATTCAGTCTCCCTGCCATTCTTTTTGTTACACTAACAGTCAAGAGGGGTTTGAACCAAATCTCCAGAATCCCCCAACTACTGGGAAAGGTCAGACCTGGTCTGTCCTTTGCAGCTTGGGCCTGTTTCTACTGCACCTTCTGCTCCTTTCGGCCTCCTTATTCTGCTGCTGGTGACTAGAGACACATGAACGCTGCCTGTGACAGCAGAACGTTGACCCAGGGTGGAACTAGCAGTGTGAACTACACACACATCGGCCCCTCTCAGTCTCTTGTGCCAATCCGCTCCCCATTATCCCTTCAAGCTCCCCAGGCAAACTTGTCACCCTGAGCCATAACGCTGCCAATGCAGCAAGACAGACGGTTCTAGCCATCTTATCCCCTTGTGTGTCAATGGAGAACAAAAGCTCTCACTAGTCACCCTGATTAAAATCCTGCTCCTGGAAATAAAACTCCTGGGTTGTGGCTTAGAAGGGTGTGTACCCATCTATACCTTAGAAACAAGGCCTTAAAAACAGCCTTTTCCTGCAGTGAGAGCAGGGTAGTTACTCTCAAACCCTGATCACCCACATGCTAGCAGAGGCCTGCAACCAACCCAGCTGTCTGTCTCCATATTTTGGGGGGGCAATTGTATTGTCAAAAGAGAACCCCTCTGAATCCCCTGGATTCATGTCACTACCTTATTGCCTCTGATGGCGCATGGCCATTCTGTGCCATGGGAATGACTGCATGCCAGGGACTTCTCTCACTTCTCTTCCCAACAGACTGCGAGTGTTATGGCCACTCCAACCGCTGCAGCTACATTGACTTCCTGAATGTAGTGACCTGCGTCAGCTGCAAACACAACACCAGGGGGCAGCACTGCCAGCACTGCCGCCTCGGGTTCTACCGGAACGGCTCGGCAGAGCTAGACGACGAGAATGTGTGCATAGGTGAGTAGCTGGGGCACTATGGCGCATGGTGGGCACTCCTCTCCGGGGAGTTTCACTAGGTCGTTACTTCACAGCTGGCTGAAATTAACAATGGCTGAAAGTAGTTACCAGCCGCTGGCTGTTTGGTGGCCTGTGAGAACGGAGCCTGGTGGCCATCCAGTTTCTGGCCAGCAATCAGCGCAGAGAGGCCAAGGGGTTAATTGTCCTTAAAGACTAAATAATTCTGTCTCTCCCAAAGGAGAAATTTCATGTCCAGCTCAGGTAAGGTGCATTGATAGCCCAGGATAGGGGAAGCTTGCACTGCCCTAGAAAGGAAGCCTGGATTTGAACTGGCAAACTCAAGGTAACCGGTATGCTATCCCCACTTCCCTTAGCCAGCCTAGCCTCCAGCCCCAGCTATTCGGCTCTGGCTGGATTATTCCCGCCAATGGCACGGTTCAGTAGTGGAGGTAGTAGTTGCAGCTTTGCTGTGCTATTCCCCGCTGCACGCACTCGGAATGATCCCAGGGGCTGTTGCCCCACTGGGCACTCATTCACTCAGCCGTGAGAAAAAGGACACACCGTGCTCGCCCATCCCTTGCCAGTCCCTCTGAGTGAAGCGGTGCTGCTGCTGGGTCTGACCCGTTTGATCCAGTGAAGAGGGACTCCCTTCTCCCTTGCCCCCAGCGTTCCACAAGCCCTGAGTAAAAAACCACTTCACTTTTGAGGCAATTAAATGAACTTGCAGGTAGTTTGGTGTGGTCAACCCTTCAGCTACAATCCTGAGACCCAAGCTTGCGTGTGGACGTTGACCCATTGCGTAATGGGAGAAGCTTGGCCAAAATATGCCCTCTCTTCCCACCACTTCTGATGAGCTGTGCGCTTGGCTACTGCCCTCCAGCCCAGAACAAGCTGCATTTTAGTAGTAGGTAGAGCAGAATCTGTGTATAAATTGCTGTGGTTGGAAAGGCAGCCCAGAGCTGCAAGATGGGGTGCTTGTAAAAGTTCATTCCTAAAAGCCAAGGATTAAATGGGCTGCTCACACTGCCAGCCCTTCTCAAGGTCCTGTCAGTGTGCAGAGCCCTGTCGGAAAGGCATGGAGAGCTCCCTGGTGCTCAGTGTGCACAGTCGGATGTAGTAACTAGCTTCCATGTGTTTCGACAGAATGTAACTGCAATCAGATCGGATCGTTGCACGACCGCTGTAATGAGACCGGCTACTGTGAATGCAGAGAAGGTGCCGTCGGGCCCAAGTGTGACGACTGCCTTCCCAATTACTACTGGAGACAGGGTTGTTTTCGTAAGTACCGCAGGCCAGCGGGGAGTAGCAGGGTAACAAAGGCACAGCAGCACCCATAAAGCCACTGTACGTGACAGCGGTGGAATGAGCTAGAGCGTGCTATCCCAAGGCTCCGCAGGCAGGGCCATGTGCTGCTGTGCACAGGATCAGCCTTCAGAGCCCTTACTCCGGCCTGGCCAGAGAACAGGACTGATGCCGTGAGGCAGCCGGAGGGAGCCGTCTTTAGCAACACCCGCTCAGCTGCCAATTGGAGGTAGTTGCAGAGAGCCCAGGTTATAGGGCTGTGTAGGGCTGAGGTCCCTCCCCTGCCCCATTAATGTAATGTCATTGCACAGTTTGTTCCTATGAGGCTGGGGTCTTAGACTTGCACTGGTGCTGCAGGGCAATTGGATTAATACCAAGGGCCTGAAAAAAGACCTGAGCAAAAGCCAGCGTCCACATTCTAGTTACAGTTTTAACCCGGGCTTTGTCAGCTACACCTTGTTCCCTTTGACAGCCCAGTGATGTAGCCTTCAACGTCCCTTCATTATACTGAAGGCAATAAGCCTTCACTGTCGCCCAGGGCAGAATCCTAAGGCCCCAGGGCTGTGGGTATCCGGCAATAATTCCCCATGTTCTTTCTTCCCTCTTTGCCTTGCAGCCAATGTCTGTGATGAGGAGCTCTTGATTTGCCAGAATGGTGGCACCTGCTACCAGAACCAGAGATGCATCTGCCCTGCTGGCTACAAAGGGGTCCTGTGTGAGCAATCCAAGTGTGACTCTGACAACAAGGCCTGCAATTCTGCCTCCAGCACATACCTCAGCCTAACCACCTTCCTCATCAGTGCTCTCATCCTCCAGCTGCGACGCTTGTTGGACTTTTGAATTGCAAACACAAGGGAGCCAAGTCAAGGTGCATCACCCGGGGGAGGCTAGGAGACTAAGGTCATAGGTAGCCCTCCGCAGCATCACCTCCTCAGCCTTCCTTTACTCTAGGACTTCCATGACGTCATTCAGTCCCCTGTCCACCGAGAGCTACAGCATCTCAGGGGCTGACTCCTGTCCTTCCACCAGCAGCAGCCTTGCTCCAACATCCGCGCCCTGGCCAGAGGTAGCCGCAGCATGGACTTGGCTGCTGAGCTGCAGAGAGAGAACTGTGACAGCCATTGTGCAGAAGCTGCAGTACCTTGCTGGCATTAGAAAGGACTCCTGTCACACACACTTCCTTAAAAGCAGTGACTCGTTCCCCATTTTGCACGGGGGGCTCTGGTTCCAGGGCATGGGGGACCCTGCCAAAACAGTGCCGCAATCCAAGGATTTTTTTTTTTTTTAAACTTTTCAGTAGTTTCATTTTCTTTCTTGTTTTGAAAGAGCCAGTCCTAATTGCTCCAGAGCCCCATGGCACCAGAGACTGGAGTCCAAGGCATCCCTGGGGACACTCTGGTCCATCCTTGCTGCATAGTCCCATGTTTCATTGTTGACCTGGCCGGGCCCTAGAGATACTGTTGCCTACAAATCTAGTTGCTGAATTTATTAAGTTTTGTATTTTTGTTGTTGGATTTTTATTTCCTTCTCTTGCACTTGACCAGAACAAAAAGGCCATTGTGCGCATGGTATATCAGAGTGCAACGTCTTATCCAGGCATTTCCGTATAGTGTACGGTTCAAATACTTTTTTGGTAGAGAATTATTTTTGTTTGAATTAAATGCTATAAAAGGACTACAACCTAAAGGGACATTTTACCATGAGCATTTGATTCTGGTGTATAATCCTACAGTAAAGCAACTATTAATTGCTGCTTGACCACCATGTTTTCCTTTGCGTGCAGAGTTAATTGCAGGTAAAGACTTATTTTTTGATACACGATGTTCTCTTGTGTTTTCTGACTCAAATACCAAGGTGCAATCTCTGGGGGTTTGTTTTGTGTTTAAGATCTAAGGAATTTTTTTTAATCGCCTTGCTGAAAAGGTCAGCTTGGCTGTAATCAGGGATGGTTAACAGCTATGAGCAAAGACTGGTTTTAATTTGGCATCTACAGAGACTGTTGGTCTCTTCTTCAGATGTCTTCTCAAAGTGATGCTGCGGCAGGAAAAGCTGCTGCTTGGCAACATTGGGATGTTTTTCCAAAGGGAACCAGCTGTTTAGACACTCTACTAATAGGCGCGGGACACTGGTTCAGCTATGCACTCTTGCCAGAGGACAATCTCTATTTTGAATATTAACTATAAGCAGCCACAACCTTGGACTTTCATGTAAACTCACAGGTGTTAGTTCAAATATGGAAAGATTTAAAGCTCATGAACATGCCACAATAGGAGGAAGTATTTTAAGCCATTCACATGGAAGGGGGCCAGAGAATTCTGAAGCAATACATGACATAATTTGCAAACTGAGCAACCAGTTTGATCCCCTAGCTGAACGCTTTAGATCTCTCGCTCCCTGGGCAACTACAATGCTCTGGTTTCAGCCTGAGAGGTAGCCCAGAAGTTGTTTTTCCACCAGCCCGCCACTGGCATTGTCCATTTCTGGTATCCTTACCCAAAGGATCATGCTACTGCCCTTTCCCAGATCAACAGCTCTCCTGTTTCGATACTCTTCATAGAGGAACTGCTCCTCCTCCCCACTTTGCGGCTGTCAGCCATAGCTTGTACCCAGCAGTGGGAGTATTCCAGGTCTGAAAACAACACACTTAGAATCTTTCAGCCCTGTATTTCAGAAACTATATACAACTAGAACCACTGAAATGCAGCCACTGCTGCAGTGGAGGATGGCAAAGGACCACTACTTTGTAAAAGAAGGGGGAAAACTTGAGTTGAGACAGGACAAATTCTGTCCTTCAATGAAAATAGTAGGATAGGATCATTAAATCCAAAGGTCTTGTTTGCTTTGAGAGCTCATTTTTTCATATGAAAGATCCCACATACGGAGAGCATGGAACTTGATTCAATCCAGCATAGAAGGGGTGAAGGGTTGAATTGACCCTTTAGGTACAGGGAGTTTAAGTATTGCCAACTTCATGAACTTGTTGGCAGAGGCATTCTCTCCTTTTCTTTGGTGCAGCTGTACGTTGTCTAAAACTGGCTAGATGCTGCTTGTTGCTACCATTCTTTCTTGCTCTTCCAGATACAGTCCCCATGAGTTACAATTCTTGCAAGTAGTTTTTATAGGAGAGACTATAACTAAATCAAGACCTTAAAAGCACATCTGGAGGGGGAAATACACATTTCCCTTTCCAAGCACTATTATTTCTCTAGGCAATTAGATTATAAACAACAGCAAATAATTTACTACTTCATAAAACCATTTCCCCAGACAGACTCCGTAGCTACTGGAGCCCCCGCTCTGTGCTCAAGTGGCTTTATTGCAGTGGAAGTCGGAACATTTATAACAGCAACACAAAACTTCCATGGGGGGGGGGGGAGGGAACTATCAAGGGTGGCACTGTTGGGAACTGACCAGCTAGAGACTGTGTGCAAATGGCTGCTGGAGTACTGCATTAGACAGCATCGTTAAAAAGCGGTCACTGGCTTCCTTGAAGGGCTTTAGAGAGAAATAAGCAGAAATGTTATGACCCCCTCACCACAGGTTGGCAGCAGGGTTTAGACCATGTACCTTCAGTACCAACACACGGGCTTCTAGAACTTGAGCTGAAGCAGCACCTCCTTAGCTAGTAACAAAAGTAGGCTGTTAGCCTTTAGAGTAGCCACACGGGGGATACAACACACTTTACAGCTGCTGAAGTCATGGTGGAAAAGAAAATGGAAACAAGCATGGTACCTATAACCTAGTATTGGGCTCTTTATAAATACCTGCCTAGACAGAAGTGGATGCCACGCTCAAGTAATCGAACCCTAGGAAAACACGGCCACCAAGGAATTGTCTCAGAGGCAAATTAAATGATCCATGGACTTTGGTTAGGACAACTCCAAATAGCCAGTTTGAAAGCAAGGGGGGGGGGGGGGAGTTCTGATCCCATCCTAAAGACAGACTCAAAGCTGCGATGGTTGGTCCTGTTTTAGAAAGCCTGTTATTTTTAAATTTAGCATTCATGCAGCCAGGAAGGACACACGACTGAAAACGCATCTCCCCACCCTCTTGAATTCAGTGTTTTAAAAAGGAAATGTTTTTAAAAGCTTTGAGAACTTCAATGCTTTGAGCATATTGACAAAATGTAACATGCAAGACAGGGATCCACACAAAGGAGAAATAGCTTTACCGTAATACAAAAAGAAGAAACATCCTTCATCTTACGTACAGGCCACTGATGAACGTTCACATTCTGGAAGACCCATAGAGAAGCTGCAGACATTCATGCAGCAACAGTTCATGCTTTTAAATGGGGGTGGGAGGGAGGGGGAAGAAGGGAAGGGAAGAGAAGGGAATGGACTATTGGTTATGGGAAGGCTAACAGAAAAATCCTTAAAAGGCACTAGCACCCTCCTGAAAAATCTACTCACACTAATGTTTTAAGTTGGTTTGCCTGTTTATTTTAAAAATTATACCTGTCTGCAAAATGCTGACCTCTTTAAACAAGCATTCAGAGAGACCTCTGTTTTTCCTATTTACCTCAAATTGTATTCCAACGTTAACTATTTGGTGGTGTCATAACAAATCTGTTTACCCAAATAAAAGCCACCAAAAAATCTGCAATCCTAGACCTGTTGTCTGGCATGATTAAATAGCACAGCCAGTATGAATCTATCACCATAGCTACAGAAAAAAAAAAATCAACAGTAGTTTGGCTTTATGCACAAATTCACTCACCCAAGAAAGCTTTTAACCGTGTTCATTCTCAGCTGAAGACAGGGGAAATCTACATTTGCTAGAATTTGTTCGAGCTGCACAGGACAGTTCTTTTTTAAATGGTTAGGAAACGGACAGTTCATCTGAAAGGCTGATCCTGAAAGGGGGGAATAGATCATTAAAGGGAAAGGGACTCAGCACATGCTATCAGCACTTTGTCCCATCAGCAACATTCTGTGCTTTAATTGGCTTTCATGAAATGCCCCAAGTGTAAATAAAAGCAGAAGCTCAGTGTTTTCTGAGTTCTAAATAAGATAAGAGTTAGGCACTAAAGATACTTAACGCAGCATCTTCTAGGAAATGTTCCCAGTCCATGGCCAAACCTGGAGTGCTTTGCTGGAGCCACGTTAAGTGTTGGTTGGGAGTGGCACATTTAGGCACCAGGGGCAGAGGAGAGTTTCAAGTTGCTCTGAAGTAAACTTGTCTAGTTTTGCTTGCCCAGGGAAAGCATTGGTTTTGGGGTGGGCGAGTGTAAAGGGGAAGAAGGGGGGACAGGAATGTCAAAAATCTGTTGTCATGGGCCATAATGGTGGGGAAGTCTAAATTACATTCCTGAAAATTTTGCAGTGGCTCTAAAGTGACCCTCTGTTAGCCAGGAGCAGGAGTGATAGACTCTGCAGTGATTTGGGAGTTTAAAGGGGGGAGAGAGCGGAAATCAATGACGGTCCTCAGGTCCAGATTGCGTTGAATCCCACTGCAAAAGAGCAAATTCTCTACTCGATACAGCAATTAAATAAGACTGCATTGGAGAGTGTCACATATGCCAGTCTAGAAAGCAAGTTTTAGATATGCTGAACCATACCAGATGTAACAAGTGTACAAGATATATTCACCTCTCACTCCCCAGGATCTTCCTGGCCACTAATGGGAAGGGAGTCTGTACCTTAGCAGACAGGAGCACATGGCTAACAGGCTTCATCTTTCAGAGACATTTAATGTACAACACCCTGCTTAGTTTAGATTTATTTGCACTGAAAACAGTGCAACGGATTTTTCCAGGGATTTAGAAAGGCCTTATATATGACTTGCGAATGGAGCCTTTGTGGATAGGAGTTGTATTTTATGGTTTAGCACCATAAATCCCAATTACAATATAGCAGAGTTTGTTTCATCTCTGAATTATTTATTCATGCAGTGTAGAGGAGAGCGTTTTGCAATTTTAGAAACATGGTTCTGGTTGTTGTGGTATAAACAGAGTCTGCAAATGACCAACTAGCCTTCAGCTGTCAACTACTAGAACAATGTTATGCCCTAATTTTAAAGTACAGGTATCAGCTTGCACATTCAAATGGTTGCTTTAAAAAAAAAAACTAGACTGTGAAGTCCCTGGGTTTTTAACACTTACTTTAAAAAGGTAACTACAACATACTTATAAATCTTGCTTTACCCTTAATTGACTGGTACATGCTCTAGAGCCTCATCACATTTTTTGACCTGGAAATACACAATACTTCGCACTGACATGGCATCAGTAGAGATCAAGACCCTTTCTAAAGAAGGGGAAGAATTACTTCCATTTTAGACACTGGGCAACAGGCGATAAGTGACTTGCCCTCTGTTGCCCTCTGAGTCAGTAGCACAACTCAAACCCCGATACCTCAATGCCCAGTCCTTTGCTTTGTCCACTGGACCAAGTTGCTTTCAAATCAGCAAGCCACACGCGACTTGTCTACATTAGGGTTTTCTTCTGAAAATTCTTCCACCACTTTCCCAGTTTGAGTAGCATTGAGAGCTCTAAAGCAGACAAGGCCCTGGGTGCTGCTGATGTTTTTAATGGCGTGTGGTTTGGATCTAGTCAAAGCAGAGTTAGACAGAAAATGTAAAAAATACATGGCCATGAGAGCCTTGTCTACTACAGAGCACCTAATGTTGCTACCACCAGTGGAGTTGGGCCTGTGTTACTGACAG